TAATAAAATATTAAAATTAATATTAGAAAAAAATATATATATTCATGAATTTAAAAAAATAATATATAATATAATATAATGTAATAATGTTAAATATATTACAGTACTAATTATATACACTCTTAATTATATTAATATTACATTATCTATATTTTAGCCAAAAAATATGAAAAGTCGTGAGGAAATTAAAAAAGGAGTTACAGATGGTATAACTCTTCCTGGTTTAGGTCATCAAATATTATCAAAAGAATTAGTAGATGAGACTCTCATTATATCAGATATGTATGACTTAAACGAGTTTATGGCATTGGATCTTCTCTGTACGGCTCAACTTCAAATGCCACATCATCCTGGTTTAACACGTGGTTTAACAACTGTTCTTCTATATTACGATGGAAGAAAAGCACTGACATCAGTATTAAGAACCTTGGTGCATACTCGAATTGGTCACAGTTGGGCAGTGGATGCACCGGTTGCTCTTACAAGACACATTACAGATTATACGAATAAGTTGCAAGAGGATGGTCTATTAAATAGGGTTTTATCCCTGTTAGAGGAAATGGATCCTACTAAGGTATTCTATAAAGAAAAAGATCTTACTAAAAAATTAACTGATATTTTACAATTTCCATAATTTTTTGTTAGATATTTAGATTATTAAAAGGTATTAAAAGGTATTATCTCTCAAAATAATTTTAAATAGGAACAAGATTTACTGCAACAAAATAGAGCATTAGGTGGAGCAAAGCACCATCAGATGGTTATGAAACTTTATAATGACACACGACAAGACCTGGCTGATATCTTGTACTTATGGTCTGCTCAATCGTCTCTTCCAAATATAATTCTATTTCGTTTATTATCTATATTGCAAACACGTCAAGTAGAATCTGAGGCAGGTGAAGGAGGACCTGACAAAGTTACACTTGCGCTCATTATGGCTGTTTTAAATGCTTTTAATTTTAGTTTCTTACATAGTCGTGAAAACGGTGAAGGTATAATATAATATATTTTATTATCAGCCTATTAATTTGAAACTTGCATTATAATAAATCATAATTTATTATTTTTTTCAGAATTAATTAATTCAATGCCATTAATAGCAGAGAGAGAAGCACTAGAGGAACTGAATCAAAAGTTAATATCCACTAACATAAATTGGGAGAGTGCTGGATTGCGAGGAGTGATACAGTTTGCTTTAGCGATAGCTATGATTACCATCAAAACAACTACCACTCAATTCCAATCTCAAAACATTACTGCAGAAGATGAAATATTAATAGAAGCAGCTCTAGCTAACAAAGCTTTTCATTTTATGGCCGAAATTTTGTTTAAAAATAATTGCATACATCAAGAGGAATTTTATGTTCGCTATTTTCACACACTAATTTCGGACTTTATATTATTGATGCCCGTTAAAGTCAAGGAATTACGCAGTCGCGCTGATGAATCCATGCGTTTGAGGCATCGAACCTCCAATGAATCTGGATAATCATTTTGAATATTTAATGTTGATGATAGCAGAACTGTATAAAGAAGATTCATTTAAACTAAATTTAGCCATGGATTATTGGTGTTATCATACTGATACAACTCATGTATCAGCTCCTGCATACATTAGTCGCCTGCCGTCTAGACAAGTTGCTTTATTTAAATTTATACGTCTTGCTGGAGAGATATTGCCGGCAGGTTTATTTGTTCCATATATGAAAATGATAGCGTCCCTCGCCTCATCGCCACAAGCAGCTAGATATGCCTTTAATTTTTTTAAACCAAACGGTAAGTGTAACAATTATAAGCAAAATTTATTTGTTATTTGTTTATGGAAAGTTACACAAATGAATTTTTTGTATAGGATCATCTGGTTCGGCCACTATTTCATGGGATCATTTCTTCAATTCTTTAAACCGATATTATTATAATTTGAGACAAGAATTACCTCCTAGTCAGGATACAGTGTACAGACAAAGATGTCATCCGAAAGGAATTATGCCTCAGGAAGTTAAAGGTCTCGAGGCAGTGCTATTGGTTGTCCAAGTGATAGCCAAAAATGATGAAATGTCGAGAGTTGCAATATGTGATCACCCAAATTGGAAAGTTTTACAGTCTTTGATCGGTTTAGTGAGCTGTGCGATGCCGATACCTTTGAAGGGTGTGTTAGTAAGAACTCTTGCAGCACTGGCCAGATCACCAGAGAGTTCCTCTATTGTTTGGCAAAGCTTGGAAGCTGCTCAGTTTTTGTGCACTATACCAACAACGAGTAGTTATCAACCGAGAGGTGTGCAAACGGAATTAGAAGAGATCGAATCTAGGAACGAGGAGTATCCGTTAACACGTGCCATGTTAGAACTATTAGATGTACTTACTGATTTCCCAATACCACGTCTGCTGGGTGTAGGCCAACGAAATCCAGGATTCGATCCGTATTTGCATTTCATTATCAATACTGTCTTTCTAAGATTTCACACTCGTTCGTATAAAAATCGTGCTGAAAAGTGGGAGGTAGCGGAAGCTTGCTTGAAGATATTCTCAAAATTGATAAAGCAGTACGAACCAACTGTTGAAGATTTTGTGGGCTGTAAAGTTGAGCTACAAGGCGGCGAGTCCACCTTAGTCAATTCGGCTCCGGGATATCACTTAATGACGCAATTACACACTAATTCGGAGCTATTACACGTGATATTATATATCATGGACGAAGGTTGCAACCATTTCGATACTTATGACAGTTTTCCAGGCAAAAAATATCTCGAAAGTTGCAGCCTTTATTGCTTGGAGATATTGGAGCGTGGATTAAAAATGCAAATCAATTATATGGCGCAGTTGACTGTCATACCTGTAAACAAAATTATGACTGGACTGTCACGTTTGTTACTTGGAGTGAACCCTCGCACGGGTAAACCGGATCATATGATTAATATCGTCAAATACGTTTCTTACAATTCATGGCTACCGAAACAAGCCTTTGTAGCAGTTGGTGTTATTCATGGTGTGACTAATGAGCCTGGAGCAGACTCTGAATTGCTGTCGACGTTCACGGCAACTTCTACTTTAGCAACGAATATCAGACACGGCTTTGTGGAATGCCTAGACGCGGACAATATCTCGGAGGATGACGACGAGACAATTAGAGTGGATGATCAGAGCAGGCAGATTGGAAATTGCAAAGAAAGAATTCTACTCTTGATGATGCACAGTATCACACGGCCTGCGCCAAATCTCGCTCATTATTTGCTCGGTTTTGAAATAACTAAGGATATCAGGAAAACCATTATTCAGCAACCGGGAATCCTCGGATTCCCGCGTACTTGTCTGCACTCCATTTTGGGCATTTTGGAGCAATCTCTTGAGCGCGGTCGCGATAAAATAACCGAAGCTTGTTATTGTTACCTTCATACATTAGCGGCTAATAGCAAAACATCGACACCTGTTCTCAGATTTTTACGTACTACGAGTAATCAAGACTTTGTGCAGAGACATCTTTCAAAATTACCATTTCAAGGGCTAAATAGGTCGACTGAGCTTGGCTGTATGTCTTGGTTGTTGAAAATAGCAGCTATCGAGTTGCGAGTCGCTGGTGGTAGTTTACAGACTTCTCTAATTCATCGATTGGTGGGAAGTTTCAGTCAGGACAAGGATCAGATTGTACCCTCTCAGAAGCTTCTGATGGATCTCTTACATTACATCGATTTCCAATTATATCTGGAACCTACGAAATCATGGGAATTTTTCGATCCATCAGAAATTGAGAAGGTACAGAGTAAATGCAGTATTCCCGTCGCATTAATGGGCGGTCCATCGCTCATCGACATCAGGAAACTACATTCTCTCATCACCGAAGAATTAACGGTTACACAGAGCAGCGCAACTGCTACCCAACGCAAGCTTATGCAGCAGGAAGTGAAGTTTATACTTGCACATGCCTTGAAGAAGAATCAGACGAAGGTTTTATCCTACGCAACTGTTAAATTCGTAGAGGGTTGGTGCCAAACTACAGAGATACTTTTCTCCGTTGCGACGAATCAACAATTGCCGGTGGTTCAAAGGCAAAATCTTCTGTTGAATTTGTCGCACGACCTGCTACAGAAGATGACGTCCTGTGAAGCTTTGAGTGAGATTAAAACATTAGTATCCGGTACGGTCTTAATGCTTCTGGTAAACTTACGAAACAGTTTTGTGATTCAATCAGACAACGAGTTACTGCCGTCGTCACCATCCAACACAACGATGATGAAAATTATTCTAAGTCACATCTTACAATGGATCATAAACGCTGGTGCATCCTCACAGAAAGTCGTGACACATCTTTACGCGGCTTTATTGAATTTTTTGAGTATCGTTGGCTTAGAAAAATCCGAGCACATAAATGCGATTGATTCTATGTATATTAGCCAATTGGACAATTCATTAAACAAGCTCATGCCCGTACAGGAACGTTCGCAACGTTACGCGACGATTCAGGTCATTAACAGTTTCGGAAATCAGTTGATGGATATTTTATGCCACAATTGCTCGGGTGGACACGACGTGTGTAAGATGCTCGCATTGTCCTGCCTGGATAAAATCTTGGAATTGGATTATGATAACGCGTGGATGATCTATTTAACAAGCAGAGGCTATTTGAAGCATATGATAGACAGTCTATTGGAATCAAACAATTTATTGCGAGACATGCTGCAACCGGAACCGCAGTCAATGCGGCCTTTGTACCTGTACGAGGCAAAGATGGCAATCTTCTGTAGGATGGCATCAACGAGATCAGGCGCGGAGAGCCTGCTGGAAAACAAGATCTTGTCCTGTATGTCCAGTATGTGCGCATTCGATCAGCATCCTGACGTGAATCAAGGCTTCGAGGGCGGCGATTATTCGTTCATACCTTCGGTCGGGCAACGCTATCAGCAAATTTTCTTACCAGCTTTATATCTCTGCGACGCTCTGTTCACCACGCTAGGAACGGAGAATCAATCGTGCGCCGTGCAAGTTTGCGGATTTCTACAAAGTCACAGGGATACCGTGGAAATGGCTCTAAGAAATGCAGTCTCGCACGCCAATGTCCTTTTTTTGAAGGAGATTGCATGTCTCACTGGTGTAATATCTAGATCCGCTAATATAGGTTTGTATATTTATTATGAAATAACTGTGAATTGTTCTTACATTATTATGCGCTCATCTAAATGTAATTGTTTTTTAGATATGTACAAACTCGTGGATGAGGAATTGGCAAAAATAAATATAGACGATTACAAATTAGAGAGCAGCACCGGGATGAGAGAGTTGCGAGCGCATTTGTACCGATTACAGAAATCGATGCTATCGTTATTAAATAAATTTCAATTGCAGTCAATTCCGATAAATCATAATTATCAGCAAGCCGACGCAAACCAGCAATATATTTCTTGCATACAGATAGTCGCTAACGTCATGCTGTATACACGCAATCAAGTAATGTCCTAAAATAGTGAAATTGTACATGACAATCTACTAGAAACACTTTAATGTCTTTTTAAAATTTTCATATTATAAATGAATACTTTCAGATGCAACATAGTCGTATGGATCAGAAAATACGGAATGTGCTATTCGATCCTCATTTAATACCAAAACCTGGAAGAAAGCAGGACAAACTGAAGGATACCTCTGGTGGAGTATGTTTAGGCACAATTGTCGAACAGTTGGTTTCCGTGACAAATTTACTGCACACTGAGTTGCCGCATATTGATTCTTTAATAAAGAAAGCCCAAGTGATAACCGACATGAGTACAGCGGAATTAAAGAAAGTAAGTAAATCTTTCAATTGACTCTACTACTCATGTAATACATATATTAAAGTTTAATACTATTGTTTTTATTGATAGTACATGTCTGAAAACGAAGTGGAACTCGATATAGGAAAACAACGAATGCTCGTTGAACAAAAATTAAATCGCTGGATAAAGGATAAACGACAAAGCATAAAATATTGCTCTCTTATAATAGAACACGCTTTGTACATTCTTTGGAGTCACTTAGATTTTTATACTATGCAAGTCATATCACGGCAAACCCAAAGAGTGCACGGTTAGTGAGATATTCAATTTTTCATTATATAGAATAAATTTACGTTTATAGAGTGTATCTTATAAATCTTCATAAAAATTTAATATTCTAATATGTTTATTCATATAGTATCTTCGGGTGGTGTTGACGAAAGCATGATAGAATGGAAAGTTTCGTCAGAAACACTAATGGAGCTGAAGCAAGGACTCGTTTCTACATTTACGGATACTTTCATCACACAATTGATGGACACAACACACAGTGAATACGCAACAGTGGATCGTAGCTTCATCGAAGCTCTCATAAGACGAATTAAAAGATTGTTACAATTTATAATTATAAAATAATGAAGAATTAACGTTTGCATCTACGGACATAGTTTCAATTAATTACATATTTTTTTTATTCCACTTTATATATTCCATTTATCGTTAATCACCTTGTTATATGGGATAAATGTGAACAGTATTTACTTTACTGAAATCGATTAAATTTTATATAGGGTAAAGCGTGGAGTTATTCCATCAATTTCAACTTTAGTCACAGAAACTTGAACTATGGCAGCAAATTATTTTCCTATGTAGTGACGTGCTTACAACTACGTTGCATGCACAATTGTTTGAAAGCGTAAACACGACCTTCAAATGTTGAATATGTCATGATTTTTCTCATCATGGAATCTGCGCTGTTCAAAAACATAAACATACTATCGGTAACCGGAATTGCTTTATGGATCTCGCTCTATCCTATGTAGAATTAATTTTGATCTATTTATATAAGTGAATCAAAGAAAATTATAATCATTTTCTTAAATCATTCATCCTCTTTTACACCTCTTGCAAAACATGTTAATAGATTATATTAACTTTCTTCTTCCAAGTTCTCTTTTTCTATCTGATATTTTTGTATTTTGTAATGAAATATATCGTCAAATTATTTATTACATGAATAATAGATAAACAATATGTAAAGATGTGATAAATATAGAATATTGTATTTATTACATTTATATTTACTATAAAAAGTACAAGTACACAATTTTAGATTACATATTTGTTAATATACACATATACAAGTTTATAATTATGATCGATACTCTTAAAAAAATTTAATTCTATTCTTTTTTTAAGAAGCGATTACTGCTTCATCCCAAGGACCATAAATGTTATCTTTATATTTTTGACACCTGATATACCAGAGTGGACAAATGAAATGAATGAATATTACAGCAATAATAAAAACGTAAGAAAATATTTGTGAAACATGTAAAAGCAAATATATAGTACCAATTGTCAGAACGGTTGATATAATAATTTGATTATTTATTTGCGACAGTAGATAAGGTAATAGTACGAAGCACTGAACTGAAACTGTTAAAAGCGAAAAGGCATGTAACGGTGATGCTAATCTAGAGGCCAACATTAATGAGCCAAAGATTGAAGAAGTTATGGACAAGGAGTCCGAGAGAATATGTGACGATCCATATTTGCTGAATATTAAATGGGTCAAGAACATAAATATCGTCATAGCGTAGATTGTATCGGTACTGATCGTTTCTGTCAAGGTTTTTAAAATGGGTGATAATATATATCCAAATGTTAGAAATATTAATACTGTCCACAGATCCTTCGTTGGTTTTACAGATCGATCTGGTACTTTCATGTTGTATGTAAAATACCCAAGAATCGTCAACATGCTCCCCGATATTACGATAACATTCGGAGTGGTCCATTCGTTGTTTAGCCAAATAAATACCATGACGAAAAGTACGACGACACTCAATCTTGTGGATATGCTGGCACCCAAGCTTATCGCTTCTATTATTGTTACATTATTCGGTTTTATATTTTTACGTAATTGCTCTAAGAAGGAACTATCCGTGTAATTATCCGGCAATCCATAATTCTCATACAAATTTTTCTGCCACTGCACGTCTTTCATTCTGAGCTAAGTATATACCTTTAAGAAAATTTTCGTTTCTATAAAATTTCAAATAAGTTTCAAATAAGTTGTATATATATTGATCAAAACACTTAAAATATTAAAATCTCTCATTAGTTAATAATAATATAAAAATCGCTTATTCATGGATGTAGCCAGAGGGGTCTCTCCCTAAATTAATCTTAAAAAATAAAAATAAAACCACTTAAATGCTAAATGAGTATTTATAAAAAATTAATTTTGGTAAAGAAGAAATAATCGGAGGTGAAAGTTACAGAAAGATTATAAATGAAAATTCAAGTGTTAAATTTTTAATTTAGAAAATCAGTTTACAATTTTAAGAGAAAAATAAATTAATAAATAATATTAAATACACTGTCTTTTAAAACCATGATGTAAATACAACAAATTGGAAATAAAAATCCTAAATGGTCAAACTGGATTTTTAACTTAAATAATTTTGAGTGAATTTATATACTATACCCATTGCAGAATTGAATGTAGTATATAAATGTAGTATACAATATATAAAATTACATGAAATTAGTTAAACATTAAGTATCTCTAGCTTGACTGTTTAGGATCTTTTTCTCGGATTTGTTGTAAATTAAATGTGACTTTGTGAATTGCCTACTAATAATTATAATTAAAAAAAATAATATAAAACAAAACAAATCCAACATTCCATTTATCATTCAATTACTCTTCACTCCCAAGTTCAAAAGTCATAACTCTAATTTGGCCCTTCCTGAACAAATTCCTGGCTATGCCCACGCTTTTATTAACAATAATAATATTAAACTCTCTCGTTAGCTAACAATATTTAAATCTTTCATTAATTAATAATAATAATAATTATGTGACTGCTTACCGCTTCTCACGAGAAACTACCACTAGCTAAATTCCACATCCTCTTTACATTTTTGTGCGCCAATGAAAACTGAAATAGAATCGTATTTTTCTGAAAATCTCAACTGGGATTATTAAAGTTACATTTACTGACAATTTTTTGACATATATCACGAAAACATCATGTTTTTCCTTTCATGATCACAGCTGATCGCAGCTAATTAATTCGAGTAACAGCCGTGGGTAACTCCTTATACATATACGAATATTCTAGGTGAGCGCAAACGACATGACCGATCGTCGCACTCGCTGACGCTGCAGCACGTCGCCATCTTTTCCCTCGTCTAGGAAACCCACTCGTCGGGGAGAATTATCATCCTCCGAGATCTTGCGCCCTGGAAAATTTGTCAGGGGAACTGTCCGCAGGAGACGCGCACTGGTGGCAGACTGGGCAAGTTTTGCTGCTTTTGGTAGAATTTATTTTCAAAATGGCTGCTACGAGGAGACTGCAAAAGGTAATTCGAAGTAGCCGTCGTGATCAGTTTTGCGAATGTCAACGGGGTCGGTTGTGGTGAGCGTTATCTCGGACGCCCTTTCTCATGCGAACGGTCGGTGCCCCCCGGGAACGGGTTCTCACACGTCAGTGCCCGGTCCTCGCCTCGCCACTGACGTCGACACCCTTT